ATGTTCGAACTATTAACGGTAATTAAATTATTATCAATTAAATATTTTGACGAATGATAATTGAATTATTGTCCTGCTCATTTTCACACTCATTATCGTCTGCTATCATTGTATATTTATCATTATTATCTTATCATATCGATCGTACTAACAAATAATTGGCAACATTCCAGCAAAAAAAAATATTAAGAAAGCAAAAATTTCAAAGTGCATTTTCAAGAGAAGAAGTACCACCATTTCTTGCTTAGTTTTCTTTTCACTTATCTCTGTTGCTATACTGTAATTCCTTTTTTTAATGATAATATAACAATGATGAGTACAATTCAAATATTTTGATAACAAAATCAGAGAAGATAGCAATATGGTTGTCAATTCAATGTTAAAGTTAAATTCATATATTAGTTTGTTCTTTGAATATTCGGCGATTTAATTAATAAGGTCAAATACAACTGACTGCTAAAACTAATTTCTTTTATTCAAGTTTAAATTCATTTTCTAAAATTTTATACATTCTATATTGCAATGTCAATTGTTTTTTTTTTTACCAATTTCGTTTCAATTTTTTGTTTTGTTTTTATTAAACAAAATTCACAGTTGAATTCATAACAAGCCTATTGGCACATTTTACAAATGGAATGTTCGTATGTGGCCTAAAAATGCCAGAACCTCGAAGCCTCACATTTTCAGACGTCTCCCACTTACCTTCTTTCTCTACTACTCTTCACATTATTAAGCTGTAAAAGAGAGTTTATAACACGGAAAACTTCCCTGATCTCGGTTCTGGATAAATAAGAGGGGTGGAGGATGAAAGGTTAAGGTTCAGTCTTTCGCGTTTTTTAGAAGATGGATGAAAGCTTAGTCTCTTAATTTAGTGGTCTGTATACTCTTATAAGGGATATGTTTTTTTCCGTAATGATAGGTAAATAAAGAGGGTGATAGCGTTCTGTGATAAGCCATGTGTTCTTTTTTTTAAAGTTGATGAGCTGAATGCGATGAGCGATGTTTTGAAATTGATTCTATTTCCGTCAGTTTTTGAATGAAATATTTCTTGTTGGCTTACGATTAACTTTCATTTCAGATAATGGTACGGTTAAAGTTTCGTACCATTTGTTCGAGAATTTTGCAGGAAGTATCTCGTTCACACATAAGGTAATCTTCGATTATATTTTAGATGGGAATTAGTAAATATGTGTAGTACATGTATTCTTATTATAATTAAAATTGGGTAAGATCGTTGGAGAAATGTGATGAAGGATAAAAGCTGAAGTTAGATGTTTTATAGGAGTCTTTTATCGAAAGCATATGGGAAATTTTGCACAAGCATTTGTCTTGTGGCAAATGCGAAATAATTATAAGGGTTCAAATATAAGTTGCATTTAACATGTTTGGTTTTTTTTCTTCATCATATCCAAAGAAATTGTGTTTATTAGCACACATAATTTCTTACTACAGTAAAAGCAGCTTTTATGACAACTGACACATTTAAATTAATCAAAGTTTTGGCGTTTTCTACCGATTGGATTCAAGATGATCACTTGTCTTTTATTTTCATTGATAAATCATTCTCAAATTCAAGTGTAAACATTTTTCCAAATGTGTAAAATATATAATGATATCAATCATTACAGGGATTTCTCTTCGAAAGGAAAGCAAGGATCAGCAACTCATTATGCTACTGCTTCTCCACTTTTAGAAAAATCCAGTGTATGTTTTTCTTACTTAATGTAAAACTTAATTGATAAGTTAAGTAACTTGTTGAATCTTTAAAATGAAGAAGAAGCTGGAAGCTGAAAGAGTATATAGTCTTCAAATCTGAAAGAGTCTTCAAATTTTTCATAGAGGAAGTTTTGCACCTGTGATATTTCTGTTTCCAGAATTTTGTTGATGTCAATGATGTATCACTACGGGAGCCAATACCTGGACTTTCAGAAGCAAGATATTTGAAACAAACGGACGTCAAACCATTCGATACAAAATTAACAGTACTAGAAAATGGGCTTAAAGTAGCCACTGAACCTCATTATGGAATGTACTGCACTGTTGGAGGTTTGTTCAATTTTTTTAAGGGAGCGTAATCCCATTAATTCATTAATTCATCTGAAATGAATATTTAGTATAGTGTATCCTTTGATGATTGTATTGCTTTACGAATGAAATGGCATATTATGCCATTGTCAAACTATCTCATTATATTCATACATTATTTTTCCAATGTTTTATTTTTAGCTACTGAATTTCAAAATTTCTCGACCTCGCTTTTTAGTTAATAATGTATCATTCCGAATTTTTAAAAATGAATTTACAGTTGCCATAGATGCTGGTTCACGTTATGAAGTTGGCTATCCTTTCGGCACTTCTCATTTCATCGAAAAACTTGCTTTTGCGGTATTTATTCATTCAATTCCATTGTCATGAACTTTCATTGTGGGGTTGACAGGGTATTAATTCTCCGATTTTTCCTGTTCCTTTCCTCATTTTTTTCCTAATTCTTCATTAAAAACTATAACCACTTTGTGAATAACTAATCAGAATGCAAATATCCCTCTCCAAAATGCTTTATATGCGAATATTAACTATCATATATTTAAAATAAATAAATGACAGAACTGAATAAATCTTATTGCAGGGTACACCATCTTTTCCAAATAAGGAAGATTTGTTCCGTTTGTTGGAACGACGTGGTGCTTTAATTGATTGTCAATCAACGAAAGATACATTTATTTATGCGTCCTCATGCCAAATCAATGGTTTCCCTGATATAATAAGGTTGATTGCTGATTCTGTGCAAAGGCCGATTATTAACTCAAGTGATGTAAGATATTAATATTAAATATGAGCTATTGAAGCGAAGTAATTTTTATGACTTCTTGTATTCGGAAGCAAAATTTCCACTTCAATTATACAAAATTCGAATAAAATGATGAAATTTTACAGATAGAAGATGTTCGATTAATCATTGATTTCGAAAATAAAGACATGCATTCAAAACCAGAATGCGAGCCTTTACTTACCGATTGGATACATGCAGTAATTTTTTATGTTTTGATAAATTAATAAAATTAAATAAGTTTTGAATGGACGGAGTTAAAATGAATTGATGCAAATCGATTTGAATTGAACTGTAGTCATATTTTATAACTAAGATTTCTTTTTGCAGACTGCTTATAAGAACAATACTTTGGGTTTCACCAAATACTGTCCCGAAGAAAGCATAATGAACATAAATCAAAACCATATTTATACATTCATGAAGCAATACTACAAACCAAATCGCATAGTAGTTGCCGGTAAATATCTTATTTTTTAAGGCCTGTTATATTTTCTCATTATCGAGTCTTTTTTCTTACATTAAATTTTATAGTAAGCAGCTTATCGTGATTAGTAGATACTTAAAAAACTATCTTGTTTAATGCAAACACACATTTTAGAGCACTGAAGCTTTATGAAAATTTTCCTGTCTCTATTTCGAACCATAAAACTTAGAATACTTTTCTGTTCAATATTTGTTTTAAATTTTTCACAGGAAGGATAGCTGCTAAATATTCGCACGATTTAATGGATATAACTTTCTAGGTGAATACACCGTACTCGGTATATGCACTTTTAAAATTTTCAGGTATTGGTGTTGATCATGATGCCTTAGTTTCCTTATCCCGAGAACTTTTCGATGATTCGAAAACGGCTTGGGCGGAAAATCCGTCACTACTGCTTGAAAAAAAGCCTCCAACAGATGACTCACTTGCACAATATACGGGTGGAGAAAAACTTGTAAGCTTATTCTAAATATACGCCAATTCGAGTTTTATTCTATAACTCACTCTACCAAAATATATTATTAAATATTGTTTAAGGATTCCAATAGTATTTAGCGACACAAAATTAAGACGAAAGATTTATCATATTTCAGATAACAAAGGATCTCAGCAATATGGCTCTTGGTCCAACCCCATACCCTAATCTTGCTCACTTCGTCCTCGGTTTCGAAAGTTGTGGATATCTTGATGAAGATTTTGTAGCTTTCTGTGTTCTGCAATCATTAATGGGAGGAGGAGGTAGTTTCAGTGCTGGTGGACCAGGTAAAGGAATGTATACGAGGTTATACATTGACGTCTTAAACAAGTAAGAATTTATTTCACGATATTTTCATGTTTCCTGCTAAACATTATTTTCATTTTTCTAAAAATGTTTCTGGATATGATTGCCGATATTGTTGGATTTTAGGCACCACTGGATGTATAATGCAATAGCTTATAACCACGCTTACAAGGAATCTGGGATTTTTCACATTCAAGCGTCTAGCGATCCATCACAGGTTTAGTTTCTTACTTGCTGATTTTTTTTTTATTGAAATGCGCATGGTTTATTTTCCTTAATTTTTAGATAGATGAAACAGCGAGAGTGATACTTGAGCAATTTTTACGACTGTCTGAAGGAGCAGAAAAAGAAGAGCTGTCTCGAGCTAAGACCCAGTTAAAGAGTCAACTGATGATGAATTTAGAAGTACGACCTGTTATGTTTGAAGATTTAGCTCGACAAGTTTTGGGACATGGTTACCGGCGAAAACCGAGTGAATATATCGAAAAAATCGGTAACTGCTTTACTTTTTGACTATAAAAATTCATTTGAAGGATGGATTATATTCATTAGCAAAATTGTAGTTTCTATTAGCCGGAAGCAAAACTGCTAATGGAATAATGATAAGTTCATATTATGTCGTTATTGACATCCTTGATAATAGTTATTTATCAGATCGGATAACAGATAAGGATATCAAGAGAATAGCAGAACGTATGCTGTCGAAGCGTCCTTCCGTTGTTGGTTATGGTGATGTTAAACGTATTCCACGTTATGAATTAATTGACAAGTGTGTGGCAAAAAGACAGCTTGGAGACCTCAAATCAAAGGGATTTTTTCGCTTTTAAAATAATACGTTATTATTTAGGTACATGTGAAATTATATTAGTATAGATTATGGATGACGTGAAGTTCTGATTTGTCCTACTAAAAATTTTGTTTGTTCATCGATTTTCGAAAAATTCATTTAATATTCATTTTTATGGACAATTTCTTCAAATGTAAACATATGATTAATGGTCCTAATGTTTTTTGCCTAATTTTATATACCTCCATCAGGATTGGTACTTATTGCTTAATAATTATCAGCACATTTCACCTTGTCTGCTAATGTATTATTGAAGTCGATGCCACTCGCTAGATAGAATAACAACATTAACAAGATCTGATAAAGATTAACATGCGCAAACAAAATACTATAGTATTTAAATATTCTGGTCCTGCAAAGTGATGAAATTAGATAATCGGGTTCCAGAAAAGTTGAAATTGTGTTAAGTTGACATTTTTTTGTTTTTCTGCCATATTTGTTGGAGTGTATATTTTTCTGCCATATTTGTTGGAGTGTGCATGATTTCATCAAATGTTGCACATTTTACACATTTTCTTCGATAATTATTTCTCTGTATATATATGCTTCTATGTTTCGGAACATATATATATATATACTTCTACGTTTCGTGAATATACTTCTACGTTTCAGAACATACTTAGGATGAAAATGTAAGAGTGGAAACACTTCATTTCTTCGATAATAAAAAATAACCTTCTTTCACTTGGAAGTTTCTGAATCGCCGATGATATGTTACACATATGTCTTCCTTGACTTCCCAAACTTCAGTCATATATAACTCTCATTCTTTCACTGATTCAATGATAAGATGAGCATACGTGATTATCATTCTTCAGATGCGTAGAAAGTGATATTTGCATAGTACGGATGGATATCATTGATGAATGAAGTAAGTTAATAACGAAATAATTCTTAAATGGTAATGCTGTCTGGCACATCTGCATTAAACCTGATTTATTTCCAATCAGTAGGCGATGATTGAGGCCAAGGAAATCTCTAGCATTATTAAAAATTCTCCGGTTTTGATTGTAAGTTGGAATTTATCAGTATCAATGAGTTCAAGTTTATTGAGTCTTAATGTTCTTTGTGAGATACTTCAATGAGTTAGAATCCGAATTCAATTATTCATTTCCAATTCGCATTCAATGCAACTGACGGAGTCATAGTCAAAATTTCGTTGACTCTTTTGGATTCTAATCATTAGTTGCCAACACAAGAACAAAATATTCAGTGAAAACTCTCACTTTTCAATCTGAGTGAAGCGGCTAAAAGCTCCAATTCAATTCATAGTACGGGTAATTTGCATATTGGAGCTCGCTCGTTCGTTCCATTTCTGCCACATGTGCAATTTAAATCTTGGAATTTAGTGCGGTATGACTTGTAAACAAATGAATTACTGGACTAGTTGTTGAGTTTGTAATTGTAAGATGAAGTTACTTTTAAATGATCGTAAATTATAATTCATATCTAATGGGTATAAGAAAAAGCAATTAAGTAATTAATTGTATTGTATAAAAATCCATCCAAGATTCACTCTTTTGAACTACTTTCAATGTTAGTAATTATTCGTATTATATCAGATTATCCATACTTTAATATTTTATGTACTCTTTGACATACCATGCAAAGTAGAATAGAAAAAGTCGATCAAAATTTAACGAATTAATTTGGAAAATGCGTTTGGTGTAAAACGTTAAGTTTTTTGAATGATGGATTCTGTTTTCTGTTACTTTAATATCAATGTTTTATAAGTTTCTTTTCGGGATGTTATCTCAGAATTCGGGGTGTTGTCTCTCGGGGATGTTATCTCAGAAAATATCTCAGAATATTAATGTCATAGCAAAATCATTGACTGTTCATGTCTGTGACACAGTGGCTACTTTAAGTCAATAACTACTTGAATCTTCAGCAAAGCTATTCGTCTATTGCACTTCTCCAAACAGTTCTCAGAGCTCCCGACAGGCATTTCCACTTCCAAATCTTGGCTACTCCCAGTAAGTCTCCGGGACTTTGGTTGTTAGTGATCACTGATATATACATGGAATAGTCAATTTCTACTAAGCACTATTTCTCGTTTCGATAATGTCGCCATCATCGCAAGCGTTTACATTCCGTTACTTATGGGATTGATTTAATTTACCAAATTTTTATTTAATTAATTTCTTCCGGTTTCTTTTTTCATTCTTTCAAGTATTCCATACACAGCTATTGACTGTTCGAAATGATAAAGGATGCTAAGAAGGAAAGGAGGAGGAAGGGAGGGGTCAGAAGCAGATGATCATCACCCATTCCTGGTTTTTTTGTCAGTTTCGTTGATTACAATGTCTGAAATGTCTTTCTCTTCGGTAATCGTCCTTCTTCACCATTTATTAAGTAGTTAGCATCGAAGTTCGTGATGGAGAAAGAGTGCACG